GCCGGCTGGGCTTAAACCACGACACATGTAGCCTCCTGATCCATATGAATACGATACAGACTTGTATAAGCACAAGCTACTTTTTCCAGCAGCAACGAAGCACATGTGGACATACACTTACTTCCTTGATATAGCTCATAAAGGATAAAATCATCCCAGCCTTGGTCTCAGTCCAAGGACCAATACGAATGGAAATTTATTTCAGTACACTGCATATAAAAGCCTATTTGATGCTACCTGTTGAAGCACCAAAAAACTTTTTTCTTTACTCTGTATTATATGTGTAATACATAGAAGTGAAGCTTAGCAATACAGTGGTGTCTCAAGTACCCAGAGACATTCCCAAGCCTAGATAACTGGTTTCTCTCCCCCATAAATGCCCACCTCCACCTCAACCTCTCACTCTCTGCTGCTTTGGAAAGAAAAGTGGGTTTGTCTTGGATGACACAAGAAGAATATGCCAAAAGGTGTTAGAGTCAAAGTTGCCTTAGCCTAAAACACTTTCAGTGTAGCTATTCAGAAAAATTTTCAAGGTCAACACAGATGCAATTTAATATGCTGTTACGTGGAGGTTTAACACTTCTACTGCTTCTTACTGCTCAGTCAATCACTTCAGTCCTTTTCTTGGGACATATTTAGGTAGTCATTTGTTTCTTTCTGCCTCTTTGCTCCAGTAAGAAATATTTGCAAGAATATTATAAGTAAGACATATTTGTATCATTTCCATAAATTTACATGATATCATTATGGTTTAAAACACAATTCAACATTTGTTGAGTTTCAGGAGGATTTGCTCTTCTTATCCTAAAGTTTTGTTTGCAATAATTTCTATCATTTTCACTACTGCACTTCTATTATGATTTGAGAAGATAAATGATTTTCAAGCAACAACAAAAAACAATGAGGCAGTAGATGATCAACGAGTTTTCAAATAAAAACCCTCCACAGTCAGGGAATTTCAGAAATAACATACTGTTAACCACATCACCTTGATATGAACACTTAATAATACTCTTCAACTATTTATAGTTACTACACCAAGTACGTATTTCACCAACTCCTGGCTAAAAGTTTAGCAAAATTTTTCAACATGCAGAAAGCAATGGGAAGCCCAGAATTTGCAATTTTTTCAAGTGTTATCCTAGATGAAGGCAAATAATCAGCATTTCTTCTCAGCTTCCTTATTCAGCAGAAACCCTATATCTCACTATAGAGAAGCCATCAAAACACTGTCTCCACTCACAGTTGGCTCACTGAACAGTCTTTATACCTTGTTTTTAATTCTTTCTTTTTTAAGCCACAGATAAAGACACATGAAAACTTGATTTAAAAATACCATTAGTACACAACTATGCAAGGAGTTTTTGAAGGTTTCTCAACAGCATAAAGCAAAAATCAAAACTGTTTGCAACAAGAGGTACTAAAACTTCCTGAGCAGCTCTGGAAATCACAGAATCATAGAAACATTAGGGTTGGAATCGACCTTAAAGATCATCTGCTATGCAACCTATTTCATAATACCTCACTGTGATAAAGAACAACCAGGCTTCATATCATTAATATAAAAACATGTCTGATGCTTAAGAACAATCACTGCCAAAAACCAAACTCTGTGGAAGATAGATAACAGTAACATTAAAGATTCAAAAAAAATTTCTAATATTGATGTATAAAAAATAAAGAATTTCCATTATGTATTTTCAGTCAAAATGTTTGTACTGTGATAGATCTAGAAGTTTGTTACAAAACAAAATAGCAAAAAATAGACATAGATTCTCTTCAGGTCTAGGCACTCTAGAGAACGGAAGTAAACAAGAAAGTATATCATTGACTCAGCTCTTGAAACCATTGAAGGTGGGAAACTTTTTCAGAGTACCTGAAATGAAACTGTTACCAGTATTGATAAATGTCTCCCAAGATGGAAACTGAGCGCTAGCATACTACTACAGTGTTTTCTGTACATTGTAGTACAGTGTTTTCCCCCAGGAATACACAACATAATGTGAGCGTCTTTCCTGGTACTGGCATTATCTATTCCACTGATGCAGTCTCTTTATGGCAAAACAAGAAAATGAAAATGAGGACTACAAATCCTATACTTTAAATGAGTGATCTTCAGTGCCCACTTCTGCTGACCCCTGTAGGAGTAGCTAATTAGTATTTCTCCTACTAATAATCATTCTGCATGCAGATTTTTACTCTGGAAAGCAAATACATAATAAGAATTATGTCCTCCTCAGCAAATGCAGTCATGTTCATGCATGTCTCCACAATCCTAAATAACTGAATAATCCAAGTAAAAATGCTCAGGGCTATTCATTCTTACTAGCCAAGTCTCTTATGGCCTCATGAGCTAGTATAAGCCAGGTATGGGGTACTATACACTTATGTACCATATATCCTCTCTAAACACTACAGCTAAGAATAAAGGGTTAGCCCCAACATTGACAATGACATAATGAGAACAGTCACTAAAAGTATTATCAGCAGCATGCCTAGGAGAACAAACTTGTCTGACTTTCAGAAGACAAGTTACATTTCCACAGCTAGAACCCAGGGAAGGAGGGTAGAGAGAAGAGTTTGGATTTTTTATTATTTGTTAGTTAGACATATTTGATGTTCAATTTGTAAAGTTTTATCCATGACGCCTTTCCAATTTCAAGACAGGAACATCTGGAAAGTGAGTTTACAAAATACAAGTTTTTCCAGTATATTTAGTTTGCAAAATAAAAATTTTAAGTCATTCTACATCAACCTGCAGAGGGCCTGCCTCTAAACCAACAAGGGAATACTAAATTTAAAGAAAATGTATGATGCATACTGAACTTCAATTTTCCCTTCAAGTTTCAAGCTTCACAAACAATTTTTAATTTCCTACAGCATGCAACAGTAAAGCCAGATAAATACATCTGGAAGTTCTGGTTTGTTTCCCTCCTTTTTTTATAGAGCAGGTATATTCCGGAGCTACGGCAGGGACCACCACCCAGCTGTAGCAGGGCAATGCCAGTAATTCTGAGTTACTTCAAATATGAAAAGCTCATTATCATGTCAGCACAACTTGTCAGTCTCAGAGTTAGGTCATGAGGAGAAGAGTTCTACATTTCTTCTCTGGGAACACAAGCTCTTCTCAGACAACAGCAGATCCCCTTGTTTTAATCACAGCCTTGAACTGTTTATTCTTCAGTTCATCCTAGTCATGACTTCCACTTTGCTATTGGTCTGTCAGCACTTCTTTTTTCAGACTCTATAGACAAGAGATGCAGTATGACTGTAAAAACTTTGCTTATATTCTGCTGTATTAAGGCCTCCTTATTAAGTTGGCCAGTTGTTGAGCCTCTTTTTTTTCAAGAGTAAAGAAAAAAGAGTTTTAAAAATCTTTCCTGTGATTAATAAAAAAGGAAGTATTTTTGGTTTAAGACTTGGACTCATTTTGGAGGCAGTTTAACCTATGATGGCAGAAGTTACCACCTTCTCTGCCCTTGAGCACATACGTCTCCTTTTGCACCAAGGAAGACCGACAAGACGACGTCTGTGCCAGTGCAATTCACAGTCTGGTATACTTTGTATTTACTTAAATACTGGTGGTTCAGGAACAACTAAACCTGCCACAAATCATAACCCTAGCTCAAAGATCTCAAATTTGCTGAGCTCCCATTCTCTTCAAAAAAAGTAATAGGATATGTTTTTAGAGAGACCTTTACCAAGGCAGACTATTCTGTATACTGTGAATTACTGCTTTTGGATGTTCTGTAAATGGTTGGCTCATTAGAAAACACTTTACTAACAGGTTTTTAACTCCCTCACCACCTGCCATTATTTTTAAACATTTAACACTGGAAAAAGGTTTAAATTCAATGCTTTATGAAATTGCAGAAGCTTTGAAAGATAATTGTAAAACAACAAACTAAACACACCAGTAAAAATTCATCTAATATAAACGCTATTATATGGGACTGAAAAAAGAAGGTTTTGTGGTGTTAATTATACCAACATAAATATTCTCCAAGTCAAAGTACTGCCTTCTAAGCTACAAGAATTTTAGCTCATGAATATTTTCTAAACTCTAAATTGCTGACATTCACACTGTTGAATGGTAGTCTTGGGCTCTGTCAATATTAAAGATGGAGAAAATTCCACCAAAAATAAATCTTCTCGCAGGCAGTTAAAAAATAGTATAGAATGCCAAGAACAAGTTACTCATGAGGGAAAATGGCCACAGCATTTCTCTGAGCTGCTAGTGCTACACCAGAGGCAGAAAACATTAGCCTGATCTGGCACAGGACAGGGAATCTCAGTTTCAAGCTCTAAATGGGATTACCTACAAAAGCTGAGTAAGCCACCAAGTTATCTCTGCCTCCATTTCTTCTTTCTTAAAATGGAGGTAACACTATCATGCTTAATGCAGAAATAAATCTGCCATCAGACCTCAAGTCATTGCTAGATTTTACACAGCACATTTGGATTTGCATTTAAGTGCATTTAAAGACTAGGTTTGAATTTGGCTCTGAATTTTCTAACTCCCTGGGGTTAGAGTTGAATCTCAATACTAATTTAATATAGCAAATTGCATACTGGAGCAAGGTGCCATATGTCTGCTTTTCTCAGTCAAATGTGAGAACTGAGGAAGTTCTTTTTCCTCTCTGACTTAGCACTTACTGTTATGGATTAACAGATGTCTTTGTAGAGAGAACGGGGTTCGGAACAAAGCTTTGCATTCCTCACACTGGAATGGTCTCTCTTCAGAATGGGTCTGCAGATGAAAGGCAACACGTCAGAGGAAAGGCTCAAGGAAATCAATTAGCTCTCATTACAGTAATTATAGCTAATTCGCTAGACTGGATTCAGGAGGGAATATCACAGCAATTTGAAACATCAGGGGATGAAGTATTAACAATTATTCTGCCATTATCGAGAATCCTGGAAGTCAGCATAGCAGCTACTGAATAAATATGCCTTCCCAGTCCTCAAGAAGTGTTTTCTGAGGCATGCATGCAAACAGAAACAGAATATAGAATAACCAGGAAAAAACCCCAAAAAGCTCAGTTGCACTGCCTCATCAGTACTCACACTGGCCTTTAGCACCAATAAATGCTTGAAAATCAAACATGTACACAAAAACTTTTTTCTCAGTTAAGCCTGAAAGTAAACCTGATCTGATTATCTCAAGACAGTATCTAAAATTTGGCCAAGAAAATTTCTCAAGTCATGAACCTAGTCTTACATATCCTTGTTTCAGCTTCTCATACTAAAAGCCAAAAAAAAAAAAAAAACCAACCCAAAAAAACACAACCAAGCAAAAAAAAAAAAAACATAGACACACACAAAAAAAATAGAACTATCAGTACTGAGGGTTTTGTTTGTTGTAGAAAAAGTTGTCATAGTTGAGAAACAGCCTCAAAGCTGTACATAAAACAAAAGGGGCTAAGCTTGGATGAATATGAATCTCTCAAACTGCAGTTGCTGAAGCAGATTTCTGGAGCTTGTTAAACATCCAGCTTCATTCTATTTCTGTAAATTTCAAAGCACTTTCCCTGTTTCCTAGTGTTATTAAGTGCTGTCTCACTGTAGATAGTAAATTAAACCATACAATTTATTATCTACCCAATTTCCTACTATTTTTGCAAAGGAAATCAAGTTTAAATTTTGTGTTAGCTCACTCTGTATTAGACCTTCAGTAGAAGCTGCAGTGCCAAGAGGTAAAGGGACAGTAAGTGTTTTATAATATGCACAAAATTAGGTAAGTTAAGGGTACATATTAGCATAGTACATATTTAGATAATCTATTTCTGCTTTTCTTAATACCATATGACATTTATAGCTATCCCTTAAACTACAGATTAAAAGGGACTGTGGGCAGTCAGCATAATTATTTAGATGTAGACTGAGGGCCTTGAACCTAGATTGATTTTAACACAGATGTCCTCCTACATACACAACAGTACGAACACATTAGAGTACCTGCAATGGCATACAGGGGCTTTGGATTAGAAGTCATTTCCTTGACCTCAGCCTATGTCACTTAAAGCAAAAACGCAACTGAAGCATCATCAAATGTGTGGAAGGTATCACACATAAAATCTGTGGAATTATTCAGTCCAGCTTTTACATGTTCATATCAGTTCACATCAGCTGACACCCTGCTTAGCAATCTCAGCAGTCAGGCCAAGGATTGACAGTACATGAAGAGACTGAACTACCTTCTCACCTCAACAGGTGTTTCCTCCAGAACAGGGTTGACACATATTGATGAGACACTGTGGGGAAGCTTGCAGTGCTGCTGTCTGTGCTGTACCTGTTCTGTGGATAAATAGAAGGGTTCAGTCTCTAGAGCTGTCAATCTGGCACCTTTCCCGAGCGCAAAATTCCTCTTTTTATTTAAAAAATGCCCTGGTTTAGAACACTCACCACTCGAGTGATAGTTCTGAAGAGCAGAGATTTGTACAGAATTCCTTCTTATCTCCTTGACAGTTCTCCTAGTCTTTGACCAAAATACAATATTCACCTGTACATCTTAACTTCACTACAAAGAAAAACACCTAAGCGGACGTACCCTCATGCAAGGATACAGACATCTTTTGTCACTCTTTTGTGAGTGGTCCAAAAACAACCTAAGTCTATCACAAAAAGCCATGCAAGTCCTAATGAGGCAAGGTAACCCCGCCAGACAAGATTATTAGTTGTAATACTGTCCCTTTTTGTCCTACTAACAGGTGTCAGATCAGAGATGGCTTCCATTCAGTCAGAGCAGAAGACAGGCGTACAATCAAAGCAACCAAGAACGGGCTCTTATGGAGTATTTCTTATCAGCCTTTCCTAACAAAATATTTGTAGAGGTTTAAACCCAGCCCAATTTTTCCCAATAGAGAAACTGAAGGAATATGGTTGTTTGAATTCATTATGCTCCTCAAAACCAAATAACCCTGGATTAACCATAAACCCCTTAAAATCCTGTGTCTGCTGCCCTATTTCTGCTCACTGTTATATCCTCGTATTCTAGTCTCTGAACTCATCCTCTATACATAGCACAAAGGAGCAGATGGAACAAAAACTTTGCTTTCTCCTGTATGGAAGTAACCTGCATTATATGGCACAAAACGTTGACTACTTTTATCTGCAGCACAATCCAATACTACATTTGCCTCTTAATTTCAGATACTATTCTCTTCCCTTGTCACAAAAATGGAACCGTATTCTTCATATGATCACACGGTCATATAGTCTAAGCTTTTTGAAAAGGCATCTGAGCTAGTTCCACCTCACATAACGCTTCCCAGTGCTGACATCTCCAAGAAAGTGACAAAGCAAGTTCACACATGTACCTGCACAGAGCAGCATAGTACTTGTGTGCAGAAGCAGCGCATCAGAGAGGTACCACAGAAGACTTAAGAGAGTGATAAGCTAGGGTTCCTGTCATAATGCTCCACTGAACACACCAGATACACTCTTAGCAATTCCACTGTCTATCTCCCAGTGAAATCCTGTGAAATGTGAGGAACTAATCTCCTTCTGCATCTTTGAAATGACCCAACATTCATCACCCATATCTGAAAGATGTTTAAAAGCACATGTTGTAGGAGTCATTTTTACTCTGATACTCCCAATATAAAATCAGATTAAATAACCCCCAAAAAGGAATCACAGAAACAACAGCAATAAGTTTCCACTTAAAACACAAAACAAAAATTCGAAGCCTCAAAATGAATACGCATCCTGTTTATGTGGCTCTGCTGTAAAACCCAAAACATTTTTTCAAGCATGTTGCTATCAAACTTGAAAGCATGTTTTCTGTTAAGTGTGGTTAAGTATTTTTAACTGCTATACCCATCATTCCTAATGCACGATTCTAAGCTCCCGCTACTAGCACAGTAGCTGCATCCTGTAGCTCAAAAAAACACCGTGGAATTATTCAGAGTCTAACTTTTCTTCCTCCAAAAGAAAATGGAACCTAGGAAGACATCTTAAAGGAATACACACCTAAAGAATCACTAAAAACCCAAGCTGAAGAAATACACGTAAGTATGATACACAATAAAGGTTTAAATTTCCACTGTTAGTGGATCATCATTCCTATGAACAAGTAGAAGAGCTATCATCCTCTTCCCCTAGCAGTAGTGCAGCCCTTCCAAAATCATAGCACTTAAAATTATTTTGACATCCCAAACTACCACATCCTTGGCTTAAACCTTACAACTGGTTTTGTGCATATACATCCACGCTCCCCTCCATTATCTACTACCTCTCTTTGTTTACACTGTTTACTCACTGGAGAAAGGCATGTCTAAAAAGGCAAATCAGGATATTTATGAATTGGGTCAAAGTGTTTACTCATTCACTCTTAATCCTGAAGTCTGTCTTTAGCCCAAACTCCCTACCAGTCATCAGCTGAAAATTAACACAAGGAAACATGTAAAAAGTATTCATTTAAGATACAGATGTATCTTTCCCGACAGTATTTTACACATTTTCCTTAAAATAGATCTAATTTGGGAGATTCTGCCTCATTTTCTTAATAAAGTCTAAAACATAAGACACAATCACAGCATATATGGAAGTCCTTCAGCAGGCTTCTACATGCTTTCTGTATTAGACAGTCATCACTACTTCATCCTGCAAGAGGCATTATTACTATTACTCTTACATGACTTATGGCTGAAAGTGCAAGAGACGGTGCAAAGATCTTGTGCCAAATTCGCAGATGGCATAGAGCATGAGCTGAACTGAGAAAGGCTTATAAGTACGGGTATATCAGGGATAGGTTTTCTTCCTTTTCATACAGACTCATATTTCTGAAACAGCGGTCATGGATATAGTCTAGCCATTTAAAATCTAACCCTAGGTTAAAAATAATGACAGGCATTATGGAAATTAGGCCAAGCAGACTGGAGCTTAAATCAACAGAAGCAGAGCATCCCTTCATGAGCCTATTTTTCAGGTAATGTTTCTTCTGATGCTGTTTTAATGTGTGAACACTACCCAGTGCAAATACACTACAGTTTGAAAGCATCTGCTGCTAAGTCCAACAATGACTCCAACAGGACCATACTTAGTTTTATTCAAATATGGTATTTAAAAAAAATAATACAAAATTGAAGACATTTTAAGTTCAGTTACATTATAACTTGGTAAAATAGTAGGGGGGAAAAAAAAGTCAAAATGGGGATTTATTTGATGCTCTTAACCAAGCAACTGTGATATTCTTTCACCGGGTTGTTTTTTTTTTTTCTTACTAGAATTCATCTAGTATTTTAAGATTTTGTATATAACAAAAAACACTAAAAAATACATTCTCCAGTACTTTAATCCCATGTTTATAAGCATGCCAGAGCATAATGATGAACCACTTAAAAGAAAAAAATCTGCAAATCTGAGGCTGTCAGACCTGTAAACAACAACAGCAGAGTGCTTTACCTTCTTGTGATTCTTGTAAACATTTCTGTGGGCAAATCCCTTTCCACAAAGCTTGCATTTATAAGGTTTATCTTCACTGTGTATTATTTTGTGTGCAGTCACTTGATCAAGTCGTTTGAAGGACTTATTGCAAACCTCGCAGGTGTAGGGGCGTTTTTCTGCAGAAAATGAGTGGGGGACATTTAATCTCCTGTTTATACAGGGGGAGAAGATGAAAGGCAGAGACAGTCATCTCCTCAGAGAGATTTTTGCAATTAAGTCAACCCAATTAAGATTAAACCAATTAGAAAGACATCTAATGCCCTTTATGTTAGACAGTTAAGTCACTTCACAAAAGATGAGCCATGGTGTATCTCAAGAAATTGGCACATTCTTTGCAATAATCATTGCTAAAACTAAATTCTGATTAATTAGCTTAAATCAAAAGAGAATGACTTCAAAGAGGAAAACTCTGTTTCCAGATTACAAATGTGAAAGAGGGCATGGCAGTTTAAATGTTTTAAAACTTAATTAACAATATACATATTAGCTTCCAAACCCAAAATTTCCTATGCAAAAAGCCTTTATGCTTCAACTGGTGACTGCAACTTAGCTACATTAACGCTCATCCAAAAGTGTCAAAAGAAAGCTAGAAGCCTCTGAAACATAGATTATGAGAAATGAGCTTTTGGTGTGTACTGATATCAAGAAAATAGTTCAATTCTAAGCCTCTGCAGCTGTAAAAACCTGCATCTTTTAAATGCTAATGCATTCGGCAGAAAAAATGTTTGTGTTTCCATTGTGTTAGTTGACATTTCTAATCACTAGAAATGCTACATTGCAGTGATCAGAAATCCTGGCGGAGCCAATTTGTGTCATACTGCCAAACCTATGGACAGGCTACTCCCCGCTCACAGTGACCTGTTCCGAAAGAGGACAGGCACAATGAAACACCTGTGCGTGGTCTGTGAAATGATGTGGAGTACAAGACACTTTCCTTCAACTGGAAGCTACGTGCACAAGTCCACTAATATGTGTATGTATGAATGAAGACTCTTTGTCACAGATCTCTGACTGACACCATACCCTAACTCCCATCCCCTCCTCTTCAACATGAAATTTCACCCACTGGTTCTTCACCTCCTCTACAAGCCAAATAGCAGTCTTTTGCCACAACCCAGCTAACTGACATCATCCATCCCAGCTAGCATCCCTTTGCTTTCTTGACAAAGAAGCAACAGGAAGAAGACTATAGGATTACACTTGGTTTTTGAAAGGCTTAGAAAGATAGCTTAGATGGTTTCCTTGGCACTTGAGATTTTCTTGAGCAGCTCAGGGCAACACAGAATTCACCAAGCCTTCTATCAGAAACTAATTCAGGTAAAATTCAATATATGTTAAATACGTATACATACACATATACATAAACGTATGCTTGTATTATCTTTGTACGTTACCTGAATGAGTTATCATATGGCGCTTTAGCTGGTTAGCCGAAATAAATTTCTTGTCACATTCCTGACACTCAAAAATCTCATGGACCTGCAAAATAAGTGTTTAATGGTAATTAAATATGTGTCTCCAACAAGATCACACATCTTACATATACAGATATTCTCTAACAGACCATAACTATTTCTTAGCCAGTAGCTATACTAATACTCATGAATATTCTGTGATTTCCCCCTTGCTAGTTCCTTGGTGAATGACAGTATCTCTCAAAAAATAAATATTCATAATTGCAAACAAAAAAATTATCATTAGAAGTGCATACAGAAACATGGGTCATGAAAATTTGCAATATCAGATCCATGTAAAATATTACTATTATGAAAGTATGAAAAAAAACCAGACGTAGAATACCTTTCCAGAACATTTTGTTCTAGTCAATAAGACATAAGTAAACGTAACATTTTTTACTCAGATGGTTGTCTGAAGTTTATATAATTCCGCTACTTATTAGAATCCCCCCAGACACAATTACTTGAAATAACTTGCAAAGTATTCTTAAACATAGTATTTAATACATCAGAACCCAGACTGTGCTTTAACACCATACAAATGTCTGATTTCAACTTATAAGCATGGTTTAACAGTCTCATTGAATATATTTCCATCAGAACAGAGACTTCCATGCACGTGCATTCAAAAGCTACAGCTATTAAGTATATATTCTATAGCTGCTACTCTTTAATCAATTTTTCAGAAAAGAATCAGACACAGACTTATGTGCATATGCATTAAATAGCTGTAACTATCATATATTCTATAGCTGGCACTCTTCAATCAGTTCTTTAGAAAAGTACACCATTACATGGTAAAACAACAGTAATAAAATATAGCAAATATTTTAATGAATAATTATATTCAAACAGATTTTCAATGTAGGAAAACTTGTCCAGTAAGATGCTTTACGAGCATCCAGGCTGTAATACCACAGACAAGTGCTTGTGCAATGATTTATTTGTGTAACAAAATTAGTCTCCTTAGGGGGCTGTAATAGCTATCAACATAAACCTTTGCTACATTAAAGTCAGAACATACTTAAAATATAGTTTCATGGGCACTTGAAGAGCTACACCTGCAGATAACTACTAGCTAAGTGCTACATAAAACAGCAAGCATCTGAACAAGATTAACATATGCGAAGATAAATACATTCCTTCACTTACAGAAGTAATGATCTTAAAATTTTCGTGAGGTCTATTGAAAAGTAGAAGGTAATTTAAAGAGTTTTGGGGGAGCAACTGAGCTAAAAAACTGAAGATGCAAGTAATCAATGATCGGCTTTTCCAAAAAACTAATATGAATTTCAATATACCACTCCAAGAACTGGATGAGACTCCATCTGCTGGAAGGCAGTGCTTTGAGAGAGGAAGGATATGAGAATATTGCATCCAACTGAAATTATGAAGTATTATTGATTATTTTAAAGCAGTGTTCAAAATTTGGTTTCTTCTACCTTTCTATGGCTCCTATAATGATTGTGAAAAATGAAAACTGCAGAGTAGAACTAAACACTGCCCAGTGTTAAACAAATGGGCAGAAAAACCCCAACACAGAGTCACTCGGAACTGGCAGATGAAAAAAGGTGGGAGGGCAGGAATCACAGATGATGTTTAAGAGTGGCTCTTCCTCACCATAATTTTGCGTTAAGTCCAGCTCTACAACAAAGAAAGTTAAGAAAGAATCAAGGATTTTTCATAAGCAATAAAACACTCTTGATCTCTAATCGTTGTTCTAACAGCGAGTAGGATCCTTTTTGAGTCTGTCATTTTCTCTGCAGCAGACTGTGCTACAGCACGCCTCTTATTGGAGCCTTACAGGTTCATGTAAGAAATCTGCTACGAAATTCAGAAGGCCAACAGCACGAACCAGTCTTACCACTGAAGCACAATCCTGCGTTTCATACAGGCATTCATTTTATGACCTTCTTCAAAGTCAAAAAAGTTTTCCTTACACTCAAAGGTGTCCTTAACTTTCCTTCATAAGAGAATTGGCTACTTTACCATTGAAAACACCTGCCTACAACCAGAGTCAGAAACTCACCCTACAGCTTTACAGTCAGAAAGAGACATACCCCTGCATACACCCTACAAGTACTGAAAGTGCTGCACTATCAATTCTGACTGCATCATCCTGGGAAAAGAAACCACCAACACTGAGCTTTGTTTGATTTTTCCTTCCCTTTGCACTTAGAGAACAGTAGAGCCTCAGTGGAGAGGCCTGGCAGCCTATGCTACTCACATGTACATGCTCGCTTTGGAGTTTAAGTTCCTGTGAGCAATTCAAATCCAAAACATGACGGCTACATTCAAAGGTACAAAAGGAACCCTTTAGCAAGAATCTGCATCAATGAAGACAACAGTCTCCTCATTTGCTTACTCACTATTATCATTGTTCAATGATGGAATTCTGCATTTTACTTAAATTTCAGAGCTTAATATCAAAATATAATTCAGATGGTGTTGCATTTTTTCTGGCAGTAGAAATCACAAACCTGAAGAAAGGAGATTTTACAACAAACTTTTTCATTCTATTACCCAGTCTTCTGTAAGCTCCCGTACAGCATTTCCTTAGTTGTGTTTGCTGGGGGTTTGTTTGTTTGTGTGTTTACACTACCGTATCACTCAGCAGCCCAAATCACAGACTACTATAAATATCAGAAAGAAGGATGTCACTTTACAATCGGAGGATAAGACAAAAGAGAATAGGTGGATAGACAAAATGGAAATCAAAAAGATACTGATCACCACAAAAAGCAATGATCAGTGGATTGACATCCTAACTGTTCAAGTTCTGTAGGCATCACGATTCATAACTTTGTTAAAGTTTGTAGGCATCATGCAGGAGGGTAGTATTATGGTAAGCAGTTTTGGAAATCAAACATAACATTTAAAATGTAGATGAAGCTGTTCTGGTTAGGACTGTAATCACTAAAACAAGATCAGAATCCAAATAGTTTCCAGACTCTGAATGAAGCTCCAATATACTCAATATTTGAAAAGGAGAAATCAAAAGCACAAATGATGACCAACAGTTTACATAGCACCACTACAGAAAGATTAATGAATTCCAAACAAAGCACGAATAACAAGACTGAGGCTCCTGTCAGAAAGCACTGTCATTCTGAGACGTATTAATAAACATATTCTATGTATTATTAAACTCAGGACAATCATTCTATTATTGTTGGCACTACCAAGGGCTCAACTAAGCATCAATGCTCTTCTTGTTTGGGCAGCTGACTTCAAGAAACATATAGGTGAAAAAGAGAGAATCCACAGGAATAAACAGCTTACTGAAAGAAAAAGTAGTTTGGAAAAGCAGATGCATAAGAAAGGTTGAGATAAGTGTGTTTGCACAGCCTAGGAACTGCAAACAGATTCAAAACAACTTTGCAATATGCTAACTGTTATAGAGAAGACAGTAGTGAATTTTTCTCAGCATTCTCTCAGGTAAGACAAAGAGCAATTAATTTGCAGTAAAGAACATTTCAGTAAACATCAGGAAAAAAAACACTGGACTAATGAACATACTGCAAAAAACTTAATGGCACTAGAGCTGAAAGACAGAATACAAGGAGACGTCTATGGGGTTGGTAGAATTTTCTTTAGTGGAACTTACAAGCAGATGAGACAGCACGTATCTGGAATGATTCAGGTACATAGTTATGCCCCTCTGTGAACCAGAGGGCTAGAAAACCTCCAGAGGTCTCTTCCAGCCCTGCACCGAATTGAATTTATTGAGGTTAAACAAAAAATAAAAAGGCCATGTCACCAAAAATGATCATGGTACAAGCAACAGCCTAGAAAACAAGAAAGTAAGAGTAAAGGACAGATGATGATGATAGCAAAATTTAACTGTGCATGGCTAAGAAATGGCTTATCTTTAGACATGTAAGGTGCAAGGAATCCACAGAACACACAAAGGTAAAAATGGGTTTAAATCAAAGATTACATGAAAGATACAGATCTGAATGACCATCTCTTCAGAGAGTAAACAGATTTCTTAATCTCCCCTGTAGCCACCCTCTTTACCTTCTTTCTCTGTGTTTGTCAGATTTCTCTCTCTGTTGCTTGGGCTTATTTTCTGTTACCTCCTATACTTTACCTTTCTATTCTCCACTTTTATTTCTTTACATTGACAGGAAACCGCTGGGAAAAAAATCTCTTTTTCTATCTGTTTCCCCTATTATTTTCTTACTGGGGTTTTTTTTGCCTGTTGAAATATTTATGGCAGTATTGGTGATGGATCTAGCCCCAACACCTACAAACGCAAAGTGATTCAAGCAAACAGAAGTCCTGAGTCCTACATGCGATCTCCATCACAATCTGATGTAGGTGTGTGAATCCAGAATATCTATTTACTGGATGTCATAAATGAGGAGCCAACCAAGAAGAGGCAATAAAGTTTTATGCATAAAATCTTCATGGTGATTCTTAATCTGAATAAGTGCTCACCTGAGCAATCATCAATGCTACCTGAAAAGCTTGTTAGTGTGCGTCAGAGAATCTGCACAGAAACAAACCGTACAGTTTAGTAAAATGGACACCCTAACCATGGTATTTCTTATTTTCAGTGACAACATAAGGTGTACTGATGTGTAAAAATTGTAATTGCATGTGGCAAGGCGTACCAAAATTTGGTCAGAGGAGTAATAAAATATAGCCCTGTTACACAAGATATGCAGTCATAGTGATATAAGCAAGAAGAAAAACAAACTAAAAAGGAAGGGCCGACCATTTCCTTTGCAACAACATATTTTAATTGATATCATATATATCCTCAATGGATTCAGGTTATAATGAGGGCATTATTAAAGACTTACAGTTAATCTGATAAACAGTACAATGTAGCTTTTTGTAAAAACAGAATCTCCCGAGTTTTAGTCATTTATCAAATTACTCTTGCAGAGACTTCCTTTGGGTATAATGGGTTCAGAATCTCATAGTCATAGTCCATCTGTATTTATATATGAACACCCTTATTTGCAATAAATGCTTTTCAAACTGTTAACCCCTCCTGTTCTGGTTATAAAAGATTAGGGGTATAAACAAGAAGACAGTAATAATTTAGTTTTGGGGAGAAAAAAAATCTACTACTGCATAACTAAATTACAAGTAACCCTTTTAATGGTATGTCACAAAGTAATAAGAAAGATTGACTGTATTTTGTACAAAACCTGAAGGCTCATGAACATATTTTATGGTCCGTATGAATCCTATCATTATATAACACACTTTTACATTTAGCTTAGTGTTTAAGAATGCTGAAGAACAGCATGCAACTTTGGCTTAATGCTGGAATGCATAAATGATCCAAGCACAAGCATCTTTGGTTTTGGTAAAAGATGCATTAAAACTTTAGGAAGATTTTTGGTTTAACTCACTGCGATTACAAAAATAAATACCTGCAATAAAATACATTGGTCCTATAACCATGAAAGAGATTACCCAAAGGTTTGCATTACAGCAGCTTTCAAGTGACCTAAGCACTACAGTCTCACATCTTAGTGAAGTTAAAGCCTGCTGTGAGTTAGCCTTCATCTTACTGACCTTTCGATGCTCTTGGAGATTTGATGCTGAGGAACATTTCTTATTGCACACTGAACACATCAGCTTCTTCCTAGAATTTCCTGAAACAGAAACAAAATACCACCACCATCTTAAAAAGGAAGTGCTAAGAAAGAACCTAAATATTTCTACTGAGTCTGTGACTTTTCACAGGTCATTTGGCTGACATAAGACTTTTACATTTGTATCTCATCTTCAAAGTGTTCCAAATCAGGAGTTCTCTGTGGGTGTTCAACAAACCAGTTACTGATGGAAAGTAAATCAAGAAAACCAGAACAATAAAGAAAAAAACCCTTCAAATAGATGTTATCACACATCACCAATCCAATATAAAGAGCATAATTCACAACTAAGAACAACTCACTTTACAACTAACAGTTGATTTCTTCCAGAAGTCTATTCAGGAGTTCGTGCAGCAGTGACAAAAAAGTTACCAAACTGAAGTCAAAAACACCATTTATTTTTCTTTATTCAAAAAGCATTAAGCATTCTGCCAAATAAGATAATATACCTTTAATGGTCTTTAACTGAACAAGACAGGGAAATTGTATCATGAATTGAAACCTCTGAAACCTCATCTAAAATGTAAAAGACAAAACAAGCTACAGGTCAGCTACCAGATGTATTTTCCTTCCCTTTTCACAGTTTTAAAAAGTGGCAGAGCATTTAATTGGGTTTATCTATCACTTACCTTTTGAAATTCATTTTAGTAACCACAAAGCTGTTTTATTACAAGACAAAGCCACCACAAACCTAATTCTTTGTTTAGATTTACATGCCCATGCAAGATACTTCCTAACTTACGTAAACAAAAGTAAAAGGAATGGACATAGAATGGAAGAGGAGGGGAGTACTGCTTAGTCAAGCACAAAGGAAGTATGGATCAGAAACTAACTCATTAGATGGCTTGCAGCTCGATTTTCAAGACTCTCAGCATCCTGTATCTTTCCTCCTCCTGCTGTCCTAAAGAATTCATATTACGTTGATTCTTCTTACTACAATTGACTGGTTCAATACTTATATTTGTAGAATAAAAAAACCCAACTTAATCTCACATATGCATTTGCTGTTCTAAAACTTATGAGAAGTATTTATATATACTGATATACACACACATACAGGAATACACTTCACACTTCAACTTACAAGAACATTTATGAGACCTTTTGAGAGGAGAGGAAGGTGATAATGAGTATCTGTTCACAGCTTTGCCTAACAGGCAACACACGTAACAATCCTTTTTACTTTCCCGTGCCTCCAGGTGACACAAGACAGTCAGGAATGCTGTGAGCGTCCCTCAACAGCAGTAGGTTATTTTCCTTCCTGCACTGACACCAGTTGTGATTTCTATGAGTCCCCTGTGGTAAAATAAAAGCTCTGCTCATTGTGCAGGCAGAGCAAAAATATCCTCCAGGCGTCTGCTCTCAGTCATGTTTAGAGTGATTATTCAAAAGAATTGTGGAATTTGTATACCACCACATAACTGAGCAAAGCTAAGCCTAAACATAACAATGCTCATGGATTAAAAATTACCTTACTGATACTGAAAAAATGGGATAATCTTTTGTAAGAAAGGTAATGGAAGAGGTTTTTTACACTGCAAGTTTGGCAGAAGAGAGATTTCATGTAATGAAAATCTTACAAAGCATCTCAGTGCTGTCATCATCAACTGAAGGCTGTTCTCTTTGCACTCTGGTATTTTGCTGTCCCCACGCATACTGATCTTCCATTGACACTGAGAGGGGACATGCAGAGAGAGCAGAATGCCAGAACTGAGATCTGCATTGTGGACCTGAGAGCAGTATTTTGGCCTTTCATGAAAACAAGAGTGAAGTTTGATTGAAAACTATTGATTCATAGCACACAGACACAAAAATGCTAGGGTCTAACAGGACTAGTGGATTGTCTGGTTTGGCTTCCTGCACAACACAGGCTATAGAATTTAATGCAATACCCTCATCAAGCCTAATCGTTTGTGAAGCATATCTTCCAGAAAGACATCCCATTGTGTCCTGAAAATACCAAAAGATCAAGAACTCGCCACTTCCCATAGCAGTTTGTGCCAGTGGTTGATTTTCCTCACTACTGCAATGTTTTGCTTTATCTGTTATTTGCCTTGCTTAAACTTCCCCAGATTCCTATTACATTTTCTGCAGTAGACTAATGATTCATCTGGTATAGAGTAATTTCTCCCTGGGGGAGGATCTCTTGCAATTAGTTACTTCTCAATTTTCTTTTTGATACAAATGAATCCATTAAAAAAGAAACCAAAGACAATGTTTACTCTGATTTGCAAATTTAAGGCTAGTTACATGTTACAGGGTTTTTCCAAAGAAACGTTAAAACTTTTTCTTACCACTGTGAACATTTTCTTTATGTTTTTTCAGGGCATCCTTGCTCTTGAACCTCTTCCCACAGCTATCTGCCTTGCATATGAACCTGGCATCCCCTCTGCATGCTTCCTTGTGCTGTTCATAACTATATGGGATAATCAGTAATAAAAACAAAACAAAACAAAAAGGCAACACATCAAGCAGTATCTACAAAAACCAGACACACAGCAAGTACTCTGAGCTTAACACATGCTGTACTGCAGTTATGAGGCCACCTCATGCATTACTTACAGCAAATAGGAAGGAAAGCATTTGACTTCTTTCACTGTTAGGATTCACAGAAACTAACAAGCTTGAAAGCTAACATGCAAAGGGAGGCCAGCAATGATATGACAGCAGTCCAGTAACTCAGACACAAAACCTCGATTCTGAACTGAAGGAAGTATTGCAAACAGAGCACTGAAAACTTCTTGAAGCATCTCCTGGGCTGATATTCTCTGTGCACTGAAGTACACTAAAGAAAAATAAAATAAAAAAAAAAAACAAAATAAGGGGAACATTCTATAACTTACACAGGCTTGTGATACCTAAAAGAATATACAGCTCTACAAACACTTAAGTAGGTGAGCCATCTCTTTCATATGTGAAGTCTTCTGGAACTTAGTGGGACTAATCAAATACATAAACAGCAAGAGTCGGGATCATACTTCTGTATCCTCATGCAGATCATTCTTACTTCACATGTTGTAAATATTTACTTAACTAGCTATACAGCACAAATCCAGCTTCTACTACAGACGAGAAGGAAGAAGTCTAAGTTCAAGAGAAACTGTTTAATTGCCTCCACCAAATACTTCTCTGCTACACAATTTTCTTTATTTCCATGAAAGAACATGAAGCTCATGTAGAGCTGCCAGTTCTAGGAATGTTCACATTATTCAGATGTAAGAAAGATCAATTTATTACAAGAACAGTCTTAGGTACATTCTATGCAATACAAGTCTCATTGTTCCAATATAAGTTAGATTAAATGTACTATCTATAATCACTTAAGTATTTAATGTACTATCTGTAATTAAATGTGTAATTATAAGTAATAGATATACTTAAATGCAAGCAAAAAAATATATAAACAAAAGACAAACAGTTATGGTTTTCTACAAAAGTATAATTGTAATGTATATTACGTTAGTGACAAAACTGCACATTTACGCTATCAAGGACAGTAAAGGTGTGCTTTTAAATCTCATGTCTTTCATGCTTCTATTTGGGTTTTTTTTCAATCACCCAAATAATTAAGCAAATGTGAAGCAGTGTTTTCCCTTTTTTTGTCCTTCTAGATCACCATCTACTTTATTCTAAATCGTTCTTTAGTTCTGCAATGACATCCGCAGCTTAAAAATTATATCTCCTAAACTACTAAATAGTGATTAAGCCAAGAGAAATAAATGATTGAATGAAATTGATTTAAGTGATCCCTGAAAAAAAACACTCCTGATTTTACTCACTGTCTTTGTAAAGCTTGTTTCACAGGGAATTTCTTTCCACAGTTTCGGCACTTAAATTCCTTTTCCTCACTGGGTTTTTGGTGCAAAGTCTGAAGATGTTCAGCTAGAATCTCCTGGCTGGCAAAACTGGATTCACAGTTTGGGCATGCATGATCCTCTTTACAGGTGAGGGGATCTGCATGATTGGAGGCAAAACCAGTAAAGGAATAGTTTTCAGGGAATATTTTGGTTACATTAAGAGAGAGATTCTGCCAGAAACAGATTATGCAAAATGGCATCACAAAATTCACAAAAGACATTTGTCTCTGAATATAGACAGCCTATCTTGAGTGGATTACCATCGACATTATTGAAAAAGGATGCAAAGTATTAAGCTGGGTGTGATTTAGGCTGTTAGCCTAAGTTAGTCATCCAGATTGTCTGACTTTGGTGAAGATGCTGAGAATTCACCAGACAGCTCACCTTTTCTTAGACATTCTACCTTAGGGTTGGCTGAAGAGTTTTATGAGAAGGTTTATTGCTCTCCCATCTAAGTAAGAGGGAAACTACACCTCTTAGAGCAAAAGCTTAACTTCTATAAAATTGTATGTGAGATGAAATGAACTCCGTCTTTAGCTCCAGAATTTGTGGTAGCTTCTCATGAAATCTAGGCTCACTCATTCACTTAGTAATTCACAGGACTGGCTGCTTCCTATTAGGCAAAGGAAAGAACCTCAACTCAAACCAAAATAGAGAGACAAAAGTCATACAAGAGCTCGGACTAAACCTTGGAAGCCTTCCAATTCCCCAAACCTATGCAGTGACTGTTCTCTTTCTTCTTTTGAGCTCCCAAGTTACCCTATTTTTACATATTGCTCACTTGTAACTTTTTCACCAGCTGTTTGCACTTCTTTGTTGTTGCCACTGTCGTCTTCTTCCTGCGTAACAGTTACTTCTTCTTCCTCCTCCTCCTCTTCTTCCATGTCACTGTCCAAGTATCCAATCAGAAGTTCTGTGTCTGTTTCAATATCTTCCACAGCGAGATAAAAAATATTTTCCCCTTCCTGTGGCAAATAGTAAGCAGAAGCAATAAATAACTATGTCAGAAAAGGTAAATTCTAGACACAAGTGTGGGACCCTGAACTAATATTAGCCTTCAACTATGGAAGGGCTGGCTCAATTCCTCAGGGAGCACAATGCTAGAACTGCCTTTCTGACTTCTTTCCCTGGGTGGCTGCATGGATAAAGTACCTTTGTATTCTGGAAATAACCCCCTGCCTCACCTGTGAGGCTTTTCAAATAGGTAACGTGGCCTACACCAAGGTGAAGGTGGTATTAATGTCCTCTTCTCCTGCCACACTCCGCCTGACAAGAACTTCAGAGTTTGAAAATTAAACATTTGAGTACTAGAAAAATAACAAAATTTAAGTAACCAATACAGCTTTAGCTCTGTTTGCTGCTGGCTGCATGAATTATGTAACCCAGCTTTCAGTAGCATGTTCACATACTGTTACTTAATTTCTCTCTCTTCCCTCTTAAGATTCCCAGCCTTTTTCATGAAGAGGCTTTCACCCCTGGTCAGTTATCTTTACTATCAAGTTATCAGGAACATCTGTAAAACTCACTTTAAACCACTAGATCAAAACCCTCTGCTGGTTTAAATCAGTGTAGATCCACAGAAGGCCAAAGATCCAGTCCAGATTCTGTACAACAGGACAAGCTATGTACTAAGGTCTAAAACCTTCTCCCCAATGAACAGACAAGCTTCCAAATAGATACATAAGCTAACAACTTTGGGCTTTGACTATTTAAAGTTACCAAGGTTGGCATGGGCTGAGTGAGGGAAATGAGCGGGGCTTCTACAACAAAACTGTCTGTCTCCTAAACTGATACACAGAGCTGCTTTTATTTCTTCCCATATGCAAACCAACTGCTCTAGGTACTACCCAAAGTTCCAAAGGAGACTCATTTTCATGCAATTAAGGTTTCAAAGTTCTACTATAATTCCTAAAGCTTATCTGATTAGCACCCAGAAAAGTTACCTGAAGCTTCTTTACAATACCTCTAGTCATATATTTTGTAACAAGTTTCCTAGCACAAGGTCAAGATAATGATTTTTAATTTTTGCAATATCCTAAGATTAATTTAAACTTTTAACAGGGATGTAGTATTCCTCAAGCTTTAGAAGGTCTGTTATATATTACACAAGATATTGTCACACAACAGTGAAACCTATTTAATTCAATAGACTCGAGAGAGCTGCTGCTTTCAAGGACTCACCACTTCTCTGTCCTTATCTCAACAGCAGCATCTAAACCAAACCAAATGATGCAATTTTTTTTTCAAGATATATTCTGCAGTCCAGATATCTATCAGCATGCCACTCTAACTTCTGCATACGTCCAAGAGCTGCTGGTTTTCATATGCCTCTGCCAAGTTGCACAGACCCCTTAATTTGCTACAGCCTAAACTCAAAAAAAATCACGTAGTGAAACTCTTGACACAAGGAAAACTAAAAGGTCTTTCTACACTCAGTCTCCACTTCAGATAAAACTGCTGAGGTAAATCTCCAATACATCACTATTTAGGACAACCTTATGCTAAAGGCAAGAGAACCTTATAAACAGAAGCATGCTCCTATTAATGGCTTGCCAAAACGAGAGGAAAAAAAATCTAAAAATAAATTAGAAGAAAAAGCCACATATCCCAGTCAAAAATTAAGCCCAAAATTTACTCTTTTAAAGAACCAAATAGCAGACCTTTCAATTAGGTCATACACATCCTACGCCACACAGTAAATCTGGGACAACAGAAACCACAGTTATTCAGATTAATCTAGACCAAATGTAAGAATACCAACAACTAAGCTCTTATCAGTATTTCTACATCCTCACCATCTCTGCACTTCCCTGATGTGCACCTTAGGCTTATTTTATAGCTCATGACTAAGAACAGACCGGTTCTTTCCCATTTGTGTACTTTTGGTTAGTAAAAAGAGTAATGGAAGAAATACCAAGGACTCTCAATGCTTGAGTGCTCTTCATTTCACTTGCATCGAAAAGAAATTAACTTCGGTGCCAGCCCACACTAAAACACAGCTCAAACTCATTTCTCCTCCAAGGCTAATTTGTATGGCTCTTACAAACAAATGCTAATAGTCAGGTATTCGGAGCACTAATTAATCCAGATACACCCACACTGTAGTAGTTCCTCAAGGCAGCATTTTCAGCTAAACCAATGGAATTTCTCCAGAAACCACAAAGGAATTTAAGGTTGTCCCTCCACCAGCAGCTCCTGAATGAAGCACATTTACCTACATGCATGCAGACAGAGACAGTGAATGTAGCAAGAAATCTTTTAAATAACTTTAATATTCCTCCAATTTCTAAGAACACATCTGCAGTTGTTCCCCCTGCCTATCTGGTCAGGCCATGCTGGTTGTTTCACTAGTTGTTTGGCTAACCATGTTCATCTGCAGCAAGCCACAGTCATCCTTGGGAGAAAACTCCAACTCATAGTGGCATCACAACCTCCCTTCACATTTTTCCTGGTTTATTGTTCCACTTTGGTTCTCTCACACTTTGCCTTGACTGTCATCTTCTAAGCTATGAGCCACACTGACCTGCCCAGCAAATAGTTTTCATGTTCCAACAGCTCTGCTATCCCATTTTTACTCCACTATGGGCACGTCTCACTCAGGTTCTTGGCTTTTCCATAGTTACACACCTTCACACGTGCTTTGTAAGGGGAGAGGCTGAGAGGGAACATGGGCCAAGAAGCATTCACAGCCTGTCACACTTCCATCCAAAAGTGTAAGACATATGTCATCACTCCTGAAAGTTGAAAACACAGGAAGAGGAGGAAGCAGACAGTCTTGTGTTGCTTTAGAAAGAGTAGGGCTTTTCCATCCTCCAGAGCTTGAACTGCTTGCTCCAACTCAGCCTTCCTAATCCTTACCAAGTATCCCCCTGTGCCCACAACCACTCCTCTTAAAGTGCTACGTGGCTTCCATCTACACTCAATTTCCTTGCAGCAAGGCAGGTCTTCAGCCTACCTGTTCTGCAAGTTCTCCTTTCCTGCCTCTCCAAGCAAGCACACTCCCTTTCCTGATCTTTGCCTGCAGCTCCAGGGTGTCAGGTTGCCCAGAGTAAAGCCAACCTTGGCAATGTCTGTGAGGGCAGAAACCTCAATCCAGGAAACATGTGGGGGCTGTGGCAGGAGAAGACAAAGCTACAATCTCAGGCACAGGAAAGGTCAAAACCAGCATGCAGTGCCAGGAAAGACATTATCAGAATAACAATGCCTTCTCAAGAGGAAGAGCATATCAGATGACCCTGGGGGAGAGCAGGTGAAGCAAGCCAGCCTCCCAGAGGTGTTACTGGGGACCAAAAGGCCCTTGTCCCTCTTTAGCAAGTAAGGGAAAATTGATGGCACAACGAGACTGGGTGAAGTTTTTCTTGTTTTCACACTAGTTCACACATGGGACAATGCTTGACTGTTTAAAGCACACATCCCTGTTCCACTCAGTCTAGCCCTGGGTGTGCAGCACATTTATGTAACAGTTATAGTTTAAGGAATCTCATTGAGAAAACCCACTTATTTCACTTTTCAGAAACTTTTTGAGTTCTTCATAACAGAATACCTGAACAGCACTAATGTATTCAACGAACAACAGATAAATACATATGCCCTGCAATTAAAAGATTTTTCCTACACAAAATTCAAGAATCAATCAGATTTCTAGTTCTTCCCTCTGAGCATGCCAGCAACTATGTTCCTGTTCCGTCTTAAACTGTGCCACACATTAATCTTTCCCTCCTTCACATCAGTTTTTGCTATTCATTATTCTAACTCACTGTTTTCAGAGCTACAGCAGAACGCCTCAGTATCTGTGTGCTAATGAAAAACTATTTGAATTTAAAGCTGGCTGCAATTCTACTTATATAACAGTCCCAATGTTAACAGTAGGATCTGTTTTGTGTAGTAATCTCCAGCAGAGAGTGTTTAATAAAATTAAAATTGACAAACAAATAAACTTATCCATTCTGGATAAAGGATTATTGAAAATATAATCTTCTATTAAAAGAGGGGGGGGGGAGGTGGGGAGAAAAAACTGGTAATTTTGATAGGAGTAATTTCCTTTTGAGTGTGGTAATGAATTTTTGCTGCATATCAGAAGCCATATTTATAAGTAAATAGCTAGGAATAGCCCAGATTACAATTCATACAGTTGTAACTCTAAAGCTACCTGAAATATAGTAGAGGATGAACCCATTCAATTACTACTTGAATTAAGTTAGAGAAGCCTCTAGTAATTGAGCTGTGCAAAACACTCAGAAAAGCAACTGGTACATACACAGGTACCCACCAACCTTTCAATCCTTCTCTAACAGTGACACAGCCATGCTGCTCACTGCACAGCTCTTCAAAACACTTCCTGCACCTTCCCAGTCAAAGACGCCCCAAACACCACAGCTGCTCCCCTGGCAGCACAGTCAGAACTCAGCACCCAGAACGCTCCCCACAACACCACCAGAGCTCCCACCAGAACCAGGGTGGCATTACAGGAAGAAAGGGAAAAACATAAACAAGAAGAAGAAAATAAAGGAACCCACACAAACCCAACAGAACCCCTAACACCCCCTGCCCCCCCAAAAAAATCCAAACAAAAAACCCCACCAAACTGACTTTGAGATAAAATCCCATGCCCCCTAAGTTGCTTTTTCACCACAGGAAGCATTTTGCACAGAGTCTAAACATTTAAGCTATGATGAACTAATCATATTTTGCAGTCAACCCAGGATGTGGTTTACTTTATTTGTATACAGGGACGTACACATTCACTTCATCTTTAAAACTGAATACTAAGCACTAAGCAGCAAATAGTAAACTGATTACCAATCACTGCTTTGGATATGGGGATTGTAACATTTATCACTACTAGAGTGACTGGAAATGTTCTCAGAGCAGACCATAAAGCTCCTCTTGGAGAATTTGGAGACTGTAAAGAAAACTAGTGGGAAAGATAATTAGCTGGCATTAGCATTAGTGGGTATAAACAAAGAAATCATTATTTTCCCTTCATGTTTTTATTAGTTCACACAAAGATTTCTAGAAAATTGCAGAGGGCCAGCTCTGAAGCACACAACCAGCAAGCTCTTAAGCATTTGTAGAACAGACTTAGGACAAGCAAGAGAAGCCCCTGTTCTACCACTCTGCTTTATTTTCACATTTTATAGGCTATAGTATCATTAATCTCAGTCAAATATTCTCAACGAAACAATTTTTGCTCATGAGATTCCCTGCTAAAGATTCACTTTAAAGAGTAAGCAGCAGAACTGAGACAGAAAATTCAAATACTTGTTTAAAAAGTTAGCCAACACCACAACAGTCTTCATAAAATACAAGAGTGGAGAAAATTGCATTTCACAAGGGTAATTGTAATGTGCTGGTTAAGACACAAAGCCTTCAACCATCTCTAACCATTCTGTTTTCTCCTCTTAGCAAATTAGCCCTTTCTACAAATATGCAGACATATTCTACTTGATTATATAATATGTAATCATTCAGTTGGTTTAGGATTAGGAATTTTTTTGTTTGATTCAAACTATTTTTAGCAGCCACATTAAATTCAGTAATGCTAATGAAACTATAACAACTTTACTGATGTAATTTGTAACTTCTTGCTCTCTGTAAAGTATCATTTTATAACCTTGGTGGCAAGCAAGCAACTCTCAATTCAAATTAAAAGGTATTGTTAGTGGAAACATTCCACCATCGTTTTGCCCACTGTTCTCTTTTTTCATAAAACAAAGTGCTATTGCACCAAGAGGCCTTAAATCTGCTTATCATTAAAGGAAAAGATTGTGGAATTACAATACTGAAGGATTTGTGGGTTGGGTTTGGGTTTTTTTTCCTCCTAAAGGAATAAGATTTGGGATTTGCATTACTGAATGAGATCAAACCCTGCAAAGAAATACACCAATACTCAGCTTTTTTCAACGCAAGTAATACCTATTCTTGTTATATGCAATTAAATACTTGTAAGTATATACATATCTATACAGCTTCAAGGTCACTCACACGAAATACACGAGTTACTTTGGCAGCTGATTATTGACAGTACTAAAAAACACTCTATGAGATAATTTTTTGTTTGTCTCCTAAGTTTGCCTTCCCCATCCTTATCATCATTTTGTACATGCTGATTGTGTTTATTTTCTTTTTCCCTGTAATTTTTCTAAATATTTTTCTGTGGAAGCTTTCACAGGACTAATATTCTTGCCACTGTTTTTCCTTTTTCGACTAGCCTTTAACTCCAGTATGGTCCTTTTAAAAGGCATGCAAAAAGCACTAAGCACGCTCTAAGCAAGGTACAATGTTATGTGATACAGCAGAACAGTCTCTTTCCATTTCTTTACTTAAATAATTGTTTTCATTACCAAAAAACCCACTGGTTTGCACTGGATATTCCATTATGGCTTCTATTCAGAAGTTCAGGCCATTTTACTGACTGCTTTATTTAAAATATAATAATGAACATTAATTGTTCACACTGCTCCCTCTTGTGAACCTTACTCTGCATTTGCTAACATTGACTGTAATTTGCTGTATCACACTGCCTATGTGCTGATGCCATGCTAATCACTGACTAATGCCTGGGACTTCTCATGTCTTAGGATCTCTCATATTTGGTACTATAAGCAGGACAACTTTTCTGATAGATCATGGTATACCTGAGTGACCTAAACAGAAGGAAAACATACAGAAATAACTACAAAAGCAGTGGTCATACTTTAGTTATTAACCACCGATTTGTCACAGCCATCAGGAAAAGCATAATAAAGCAGTCAGTCAGTCAGTGCTGACAAGAGGTTATGATGAATGAATAGTGAACACTTCTTCTTATGTTGCTCAAAATTCAACTGTAGCCTAGATGTTAAGACCTAAAGAGGTCTGACTGAAACCTAGAGTACAGGCTCACAGGAAAATACGATGACAGAGCTGCCCAACAGTGACCTAAAACAGGAACAGCAGCAAGGTCCAAGGAAACAATATAGGCATAAAAACTGTAGTCATGCTCAGCCAGCAATCTGTGATGGAACATCACAGACTGACATTCAGTAATACTAGAGCTTTGGAAAGTAAGAGGCACAAACCAAACAAAGGCTGGCAGATAAGCACTTGGGTTTACCAATGCAGTACACTCCTAACAGTAGCATTCACTGTGATAATGTAAGAAAAGCCAGGCAGGAGAGACATAGTAGGAAATACAGCAGTGGAATGGAAATCACAGGAAAGCTCACAACTGGGACAGGAATAGAAGCTGATACCAGGTCTGCAGGGTAACTGGCAGTACCAACCTCACTGGGCAGCACTTGCTTAAGATCCTAATAAGCAAACCAGTCCCTCTGGTGAGCAGCAGGTTTAAGGAGTTGGACAGGTCATCAGCACAGAAACTGAAATTACCAGTGTTAAGTCCCACCGAGTACAAATAAAGAGGAAGGGGCAGGTAGAAGAACAGCAGTAATGAGTCTTTTACAAAACTACATGCTAGGGCTTCACTAGCACTCTTTTTCTAAGGATCTCTTTGGTGTTTTATTCTATCAATCTTATTTATAGTATTATATTTAAGCATAAGAGTTCACTTCTGAAAAGAAAGGTAGGAAAAGGAAAGCAGTTTGCTACTTTTCTTAAATCTTGCGATTTTACTGCAGAGATAAAGACCAAAGAGGAGATCAAATTAGTAAATCAATAATAGAAAGCAAATAGTAGGAATTCAGCAAGCCTACCTGGATGGCTGCCAGGTTCTTCTGTTCCTGTGATGGAGCCTCATGGACAAACCGCAGCCAGTTTGAATGGCGAGGATTGCTTGCATCCAGGATATAAAGGACCTCACCTTTACTCCCACGAACCTGTGACGTAAAAACAAACAAAATCAAAATCAAGCAAAATTTAAACTGTTTACCAAACACACACAAACGTGCAAAACGCTAAAGGCATGCTTGTGCTCAGCAAGTGAATCTTGCCTTCAACAGGTACTCACAGCTGTGGTGCACAGTCACTTTCTCCTCTAAGCGTATTTATTCACTTCAGAATAAGGGAGACAAACCTAGCAACTGGTGTCAGCTTCCTTTGTTGAGCTCCACTCTCTTTTACTTAGCCTTTCTTTTAGTGAACAAGTATTATGATTGACTGCGAGGTCTCCCAAATATGACTGTATGGTCACTGGTGCTCATGTTCTTTCCTCTCTCCTTGTTCCTTCAACTCTTTTTCTCCATGATCTTGCAAGAAGCCAACACAACTGGAGAGGTCCTTTCCCATTCCATCCCTATCATTTCTTTTCCAGTTCTCCTTTCTGAGTTCTACTCTTTCATGTGTTTTGATGCCAGCATTTTAATCTTTCAGTCTACCTAATTCTTCTTACACTTTCCTCTCGTTTGTCATTCTGTCTTCGCTTTCTTCAAATTACAGTTGTAAAGTTCTCCCATCTCCAATTCCTCACAACTTACTATTATTGTCCTACCTTCCTTCTCCCACACACTGTCCAAGAGTGGACCATTTTCTTCTGTAACTGATACATGTCCTCTAACTCACTTCTCACCTCGCTTTGCATCATTTTTCTTTTGCTGACACCACGGACAAGGCCATCAGTAACTTTCTTTTGGAAAAAAGAGATAGGACATTCTCTAATCCAGCGTTGTTCCAACTGCCATTTTAGTTCCAACATCAAGGAGTTAAGGCTCTTTTTCATGAGTTTCTGTATTCCTGCAATCACCCATGTCTATTCAATAATAGTTCTTCACCCTTCACTTTTTTCATACTTGCTATTCTTCTAGACTCATTTGTCCTTTGCTTATTGTGTTCTAACAGATCATACTCATGCTCTACAGCAATTCCTAAATCCATCTATTTCTGTCTACTTTCATAGTTCTAGAAGCATCTCAACTTAACTGACACCCACTGCAAACAAAGTATATCCATATCCAAATTCAACTTCTCCACTGCCTTTGCCGCTTCCCTCTTCCGTAATCTTACCAGTTACTCCATCAACTTCCAACATGAATTATCAGTTCTGTTCCCATTTGCATCCCACTACTCCACCACTGAGTTCTCTTTTTGCTTCTTTATCACCAAATACAACTTTTCTTCATCTTCAAATTCCAAATCCAGCAGATACCCTTTCATTACTGTTAATTCTTACTGCCCCACACCAACCCTGAATAACCCAGAAACTTGTAAAACTGAAAGTTTACTATTAAATATCACAGTCCTCATTTCCATTTCAAATCTTATATGGGTTTGGGTGGGGTTTTTTTGTTTTGTTTTGGCTGGTTGTTTTGGTTTTGGGTTGTTTTTTTTTTCCCTTTATCAAGGGCAAAATCCATCTTCCCTTGGATGAATATCTATCTTCAGATCAAGGACCAATACAACCTCATTTATTCATACCACAGATCCCATTTTACAGTTCACTTGAACATCCTTTCTATATGCCTTTCTAAAAGAAATTTAAATACCTAACAGTGAATAGCAGGCAGCCTTAACTATGCTTGGCCGAAATTCTATCAGAACGGGAGATTATTTCAGTAAACAAATTAGTATACTATGTAGGTGAAGGGCCATAAATTACATAGTAGAGGAAACAAACATGTTCAGGTTTTGTCCGCAAAGCAAAGAAGCCACTTTAAAAAAACCAAAAGAACTGCGCACACAAGGTATGTCATCATCAGGAGCTTTTGGCCATCATTACAGAGCCATAGAATTTCTATGGCAAAATTCCAGCTTACACTGAAAAAATGACAGTAATAGAAACTTAGTATTTACCAAGTCATTCTTTCCCTTCAAAATGAAAAGACATACTGCTGGAAAAAATACAGCTGCCACTGTCATATTAAAAAATGGCTTGTTTTATTTTAAATAATAGATCACTTGAATCTCCACTGATGCAGAAGATAAAAAGCCATGCAAAAAGGTCATACAGCCACACTACTATTCCATGTGATTTATTTATATAATGAACATATTTTCTTTTTCATCTGTCAACAAGAAGTATTCAGAGCAGGTATTTCCTAAGAGCTACGGATTTCAGCTACGTAAGATCAAAATGAGATTGTCTTCATGGCTTTGTACTTAAATTGCTCACATTCTTGCTATATTTGTTTCTAATAGATGCAATATCATATTTCTTCAATACGACTGCTTAAATTACCTAAGCATTTAAGTTATCATTAGAACTAAAAAACTGTATGCCACTACAATTATAGGTGGTGACAGCATACCGTTCTCAGAGTAAACCAAAAAAAACCTACTGTAATTCTGCAAACAAATAAAAAGCCTTCAAAATTTATTACTGTTCTTCTAAAGGAAAACATCACATCTTAAGAAGGACACACCATGGAAAAAGTGCCAATATTTCTAACTTGGAAAGTTGTTTTACTTTCAAAAACACAGATTAACCACAGCAAAAAGTGTCAAGCCTTTGTATTTACATGCACCTAGAAACAATACTATTAACACTAAGCATTGCAATGGGGTTTCCCAGGGAGGGTGTGTAGTCTCCATCCTCAAAGATGTAGATACTCAAAAGCTGTTTTGGGCTGATGGCTCTAAGCAGCCCTGCTTTAGCAGGGGCGTTGAACCAGGTGACCTCTAAAGGTCCCTTCCAACCTCAGCTGCTCTGTCATTGTGTGACTGTCACCTTGGGAAGTAACGCCTGCTCAATATTGGAACCATGTTTTTCATTAGGAACATGGGCAGAGTGAGTGCAATCAAACCATAAAAGCAAGCTCTATACTTACACAAAAATACATGCTAACAGTGTACGCGCCTCCTGAAAAAACACCTACAAAGCAGAAACCCTGCACTAATTTTAGTGTAATAATGATCCAGTTCTAAATAGGTAATCCACAGAGAAGAACCTCACTTTGAGCATTATGAAAATGGTTAACAGATTAGTATTTTGGGTAATTAAAGTCAAGATAATGGCTTCGTAATTTAGCTACCAAAGTAAGGGTTTTAGAAGCCCACCATATAGGTCCTATAAAGTTTTCCGTCAGATCTTGACTTGAGTGGGAAAGAGAAGCAATCAAGATCCTATTACAAAACCATACGCTACACTATCTACCTTTTCATCCATTCTTCTTCATTTGCTTGATCCTCAAATTATATAAGAATAACTTATATTCACTTCAATGTTACAGGATCATCACAGTTGTGCTTTCTCAGTCTCTGCCAATCCATAAAGAGATATCAAACACAAAGCAAACTTAACACATTAAGGAAACTATTGCTAAAAGAATACAATAAATCCCTTAAAGCCGTGCTATATTTTCTATTGCTTTTTTCACCTCATAAAGAAAGACTGCTGCATCACACATGTGAGGAAGAAAAGTCAAGAAAAACAGTCAAAACACTCCACTTAACACAGACTAGACTGGTGATATTCACCAGTCCTTTCCTCACTGATCTAACGGATAGGTGAGTTTCTCAAAAGAGCAACATATCTTTGTGCACATACAGAACTAGAGCTCAGCATGTACATTTCTGGAGCACAACAAAACAACTCCCCATACTGAATAAGCTGGGCTTTTTTTAAATCCAAGAACCCTCTTTTATGAGGGTTCTCCATACAAGACCTGGAGAACTGAACAGGATTTATTCGACAAGAAAGCTTCCAGCCCGCTCCCAGGGGATTATTTTCCAGTCACCCAGCCTCTCCAGGAATTTTCAGGACAACTGCCTACCACAGCTACTGCTGTCTGGAAACTGCTGGAAAACTGAGGATATATTTCAAGGAGAAGAAAAGAAAAATGCTTTCATATATGACAAACTAAAGTAGAAAATCTTTTAAGGAAATTTTTCTTAAATGTTTCTGCAAGCAAATTACTGCATTTCCCCCACACACATGAATTGTTACCATCTTTTATAGTTGCCAGGTACTTAAAATAGAGGCAAAAGAGGTTCCCTGGTAATTTTATGAAGTAGTAAGAATTTCACAATGCTAGTGAACATATTTAAAAATCGTGACATTTGAACCTGTCACCTAATTTAACCTGTTACCTACATGAATAATTCCATGTTTGAATGTTATTTTCCCCGGTTTCTATACAGTTGGTATTACCTGAACTAAGCAAAATCATCCAGCTAGCTTGAGATGTGTTCTTTAAGATCCTCAAGCTACAGTGGCTAATCCAGAAAGGAATTTAAAAATTATTTTAACAGGACATGAACACAAGTACAAAAGTATTTCTGATTGATGTTCTAAGGCCAACAAACTAAAAATGCTCTAAGCCATGAGACCACTGCTGAAGAATAAAGGATTCGGTCATCTTCATAGGTCAACAGAGATCTAGAAAGATTGTATGATATGCCTACAGTTAAAATGGAGAAACTGTGAAAGAGCTAGAAATAGACTTCAAAAGCCTAGCCACCAGCAGGTGATGTCATTCTGTAATGCTTAGTTTAAAAACAGCAAACAGGACCTTATCCTGATTTCCTCTAAATAAAGGGGTAAACCCAAAAAGTTGAGGCTGCCTGCTGTAGTTCAATCGACTGTCTTGGTCTAGGACCTATTTATTGCTGAGACCCTTTGACCACAGAGACCAAGCTATTCCTGTAGTTTCAGTAATCAATGGAAGTAAGTTGGTGTTTCTATTACTAGTGATTGATGTGACCAGACATGCAGTCACCTTTGATTTCCCAGGCTAAGTAATTAATAGCAATTAGCTCTATGTTTAAGTATAAGCAGACTTTGGCATGAGCATAGAACACGACGATTCAAATTCACATCTGATAACCCATGACAGGATATCTTTCCATTTTCCTACAACACCCTCAATATTTGGTCATTCTCCACAATCAAATGCCTAAAATGCATGCACATATCCAAAGCATGCACCAGTCACAAGAGCACCTTGACTGAAGTGCCTAAAGAATCGTCTTCTGGAGAAATAACACAAAAGGTGGCATTCAACTAATTTAGTCAAATGTCTTCAGAGTAAGATGAAATACCTGACACTCACTGTTACCACACAGAGGGTTTTACTTCTAAGATCAATCAGGACACCACTGAATTATGTCACATTAACAAACACCACGTGCCTACACAAATATTCAGAAAAAAGAAGTGTCCTCAGGCATTGTATAAGCTACCATATGAAATCCTAGACAGGCCTAAATAATGTCTAAGCTGCTTGTAATGTCCACAAACAATATGCACTACTCCATCTGCTAGCCTTTTATACTGCAATGAAATTATCTCCAGATTTTCAAAATACATCCAAAATCGTCATGTATGCTACTTCAAAATGCTCATGAGTGCAATTGCAAATGCTCTACCACACACACCTGGCAAGAGAAGAAGACAAAAAAACTTCACAGAAAATAAGCAGATGGTTATCTTTGCTGAAGGCAGTAAACACACTACCTGCTTTCTGGAAACCATTTTCTAAACATTTATAAATCTAAAAATCTATGTTCATTCAAACGATCACGTAAAGAAAAGTACTATTGTCTTTATTTTCTGCATTGCTTTTTTCTCCTTTTTTTTATTAGCTGCAAACATGATTCTTATTGTTAATGGCACAAAACAGCTAGCTGCAATGCTTCTGCATTTCAGACTCCATCATGGAGCTCACTGCAGAGCAGAAACTCACATTTTAG